GGCAGGCCGGGGCGGGGGTTGAGGCAGCTAACCTCCGGGCGGACGCCGAGTACATCGCTTTTCGCGGGGTTGCTAAGCTGAACTTTGAATTTTAGTTTGACTTTTGGGTTCCAGATACGGGTATTTCCGGACATTGGCAAGAATTTTGCCTTGCGTGTCTTCGGAGGCGTTTTTCTTGGTGTCCATATTGCATAAAGGCTGGTCGCTCCTCTGTGGAGATGACGGTTTTACAGGTAAAGCCTAAGTTGTGACAGAAGCTCCTGCAGTGGGAAGACTGGTCGATCAGGGAAATCAGTAGAATTGATAGCAACGTTTAGAATTTGAATTAATTACTGGCCATGGTTACCCGGCGCTCAGAACTGAACTTGGAGAACAGTTGCCCTGGAAGCCATCTCCCATAGCCATTGCGTAGTGGGGGCCGCGTCTTCTTGAGTGCAATTCATCAGTCTCTAGTAGGACTCGAAATATAAAGTGAAGAGCAGGATTTTCGGAGTTGAGTACAGTGTACTTGGGTTGATCACCATGTTATAAAGTTAGACCCAAATTGAGAAATACGTATTCGTCTCTGAGCATAATTGGGTCCTTTTTAAAAATGCGTTGCTTTTTTTAAAAAAAATGTAAAAACAGGTGCTGATTTGATTAGTTTGCAGGTTGTGATATTGGAAGGGACCGAAGAGTGGACGTCGAGAGTTCTGAATTCTGGTCTAGATCTGTGATGTTGGGAAAGTCAGTTGTTCTGATTGTCTTATTCTATAAAATGGAGATGATAATGATTACAATTTTCTCGCAGATTCTAGTACTGTATGTTTGCTATTCAGAATGTTTGCTTTGTGAGAGATATGAAGTTATTAGTTTTTGTCTGAAGGATTTAAATAGTTTAAAGTTAGTAAGCCCCTATCCCCAATTTAGTGATAAGAAATCTTAAGTCATCATATTTTGTCTGAAAGTACGTAGCGTATCTTCGTCTTCAAATTCAGTGGTCAGAACATTTTCACCTTAACCTAAATTCAACTTAAAGAACAATTCCTACGAGCTCTTCAAGGGTAGGAGTAATAATTTACTCATTGTAAATGATTGTAAATCATTTACAGTTGTATGGTGCTTGTGTTTGTGTTGTATTAGGAGTTTAGTCCGTTTTTAAAAGTTGTTTAGTCCCCCGCCCCGCCGGACAGAGTTTCACTCTTCTTGCCCAGGCTGGAGTGCAATGGCGCGATCCTGGCTCACTGCAACCTGTGCCTCCCAGTTCGAGCGATTATCCTGCTTCAGCCTCTCGAGTAGCTGGGATTACAGGCGTGTGCCGACACACCCGGCTACTTTTTTATTTTTTTAGTAGAGACTGGGTTTCACCATTGTTGGTCAGGCTAGTCTCGAATTCCTGACCTCAAGTGATCCACCTGCTTCTGCCTCTTACAGGCATGAACCACCGCCCTAGCCAAAATTTATTTATTTATTATTTATTTTATTTATTTATTTTTTTTTTTGAGACGGAGTCTCGCTCTGTCTCCCAGGCTGGAGTGCAGTAGCTCGATCTTGGCTCACTGCAGCCTCCATCTCTCAGGTTCAAGCGATTCTCTTGCCTCAGCCTCCTGAGTAGCTGGGATTACAGGTGCACGTGACCACACCCGGCTAATTTTTGTATGTTTAGTAGAGACAGGGTTTCACCATGTTGTCCAGGCTGGTCTCGAACTCCCGGGCTGAAGCGATCCACCTGCCTTGGCCTTCCAAAGTGCTGGGATTATAGGCATGAGCCACTGCGCCCGGCCTTCTGTATTTTTTTGTAGAGACACTTTCCCGATGGTGTTCAGGCAGATCCGGAACTACTGCTCCAGGGCTCAGGCCATCGGCAGCCTCCGCCTCCCAAAGTACTGGGATTACTGGCGTGAGCCACACCCCACCTGGCCCTTTCCTTTTTTTTTTTTTTTTTTTTTTTAAATGACTTGGCACAAAACAAAGCTTTGGGGTTCACCAAAAATCAAAGCAAAACTGTTTTACCTGGAAAATCTTGTTTTCTGTCATCAGAAGTTGTGCTTTAGTTCAGCTGTGTAGACACCCAGTAGTGGTTACTTGAAGTTAGGTGAATAGATAAACAATAATTTTTATTTGTCATCAGTCTCAGAGCAAATGTTTTCTATTTTATTTATTTATTTTTTGAGACAGGGTCTTGCTCTGTTACCCAGGCTGGAGTACAGTGGTGTGATCATGGCTCACTGCAGCCTCTTTCCCAAGCTTAAGTGATCCTCCTGCCTCAGCCTCCCGAGTAGCTGGGACTACAGACGTGTACCACCATGTTGGACTGATTTTTTTTTCTTGCCTTGGTAGTGACAAGGTCTCACTATGTTGGCCAGACTGGTCTCAAATTCCTCAGCTCAGATGAGCCTCCCACCTGGGCTCCCCAAAGTCCTGGGGTTACAGGTGTGAACGACCATGCCCAGTCTTATCTCAGAGCAAATGTTATGCACCATCTCTGTGCTAGGCAGAGTGAGCTTTAACCCTGGCAGCACATTTGACTCGTCTGGGAAGCTCCAAAAGTGGGGACCGTGCCTCACTCTAGACCACTTAATCTGTCTCAAGCGGGTGGGTCACAGGCATCCCACAGTTTCAAGCTCGGCAAGTTACTTTTGTGCAGCCAGGATGAGAACTCCTGTAGTTACAGGAAAGAAGGTTTTCAAGAGTGCATAGTTGCTTAAGGGCTGGTGGCATTGGAATTGGCATCTGGAAAATGTATCCTGAGGCATTTGGAGGATATTAATACGAGAATTTTATTTTATTTTTTTCTCATCCAGGCCAGAGTGTAGCCGCGCGATCTCGGCTCACTGCAACATGCGCCTCCCGGGAGCGATTCTCCTCCCTCAGCCTCCTAAGTAGCTGGGACTATAGGCACGCGCCACCACGCCTGGCTAATTTTTTTTTTTTTTTTTTTGAGAGGGAGTCTTGCTCTGTCGCCCAGGCTGGAGTGCAGTGGCACGATTTTGGCTCACCACAAC